ACATGAGGGCCAGTGATGCTGCGCCCTCTACAGCTAAGATGGTGAACAACAGCTCGACCTGGAGCTGGGCTGCCGTGAGTCGCCGGCGACAGCATAGGCCGCAGTGGGGCTGCAGTGGGCTGCTGTGAGCTACCGTGAGTGGCTGGCAGGCAGTGAGAGTGGCTGGCAACCACCGTGAGTGGCCGTCCAATGGCCGGCGACTGGCTGTCTCAGCCAGGAAGAGTGCAATGATCACAATATCAACAGGGGCCAGTGAAGCGACATCCTCCACAACTAGACTGAAGAACAAAAGGACAGCAACTTGTCTGTTCCCCTTCCCCAATTCTCCAACGCTGTTCCCTCCCCCAGCTCCCCATGAGTGTTTTTTGTTTTCAGCTGCCAAGTGTAGAGTAATTTGTTATGTATACGGCAGTAGACAGTTCACACCCACCCTTCGTGTGTTTATTGGCCATTTAGAAATCCTTCTGTGGCATGTGTTTTCACCTACATTCCCTATTGAGTTGTAGGAATTGTTTATATATATATAAACACCATCCCATGCAGGAGTCGAACCCAGAAACCTTGTTGTTAGGAGCACATGCTCTCACGAGCTGAGCCATCCTGCCACCTGTTGGCAGCCCAGGCACAGCATCACTGGCCCATGTGGGAACCGAATCAGTGGCCCCGTTGCTCAGAGTTCGTGCTCTTAAGCCAACTCTTAATCAACTGAGCCACTCTGCCGGCCCCCTAATTATCTTTAATCGCACTGTTTACATTTGCTCACACTGTTCCTGGATTTTGCTAGAGGACATTCGTTCACACTTGCTCCTGTGTCCTTTTGATGTGTCCCTATCATTCTTTGATATGTCCCCTTCTTCTTTTCTTTCTGGGCCTCTAATATGCCAGCCCCGGAACCAGACATTTCACTGAGGAAGCTGGTTCAGTTCAGTGGAGAATGACATTTAGAAACAAAGATCAGGACAGTGGGTGTGCTCACTACTGTTGGGGTGTCATTGCCTTCAGGGTGTCTCAGTAGACAGAGCTGTGAAATAGATACAGAGATAGATGTATTATGTGCAAATGCGCACATACATGGCTGTGCCCATACATCCATCTATACATGCGTCGGTCCATTTTCCATCCATCCACTCATCTATCCATCCTGCATCCATCCATCATGAACCCACCATCCATCCTCCATCATCCGTCCATCGTCAATCCACCCATGAACTCATCAATCCATCCTCCATCATCCATTCATCCATCCATCCACCTGTCATCCATCTATCCATCTATCCACTCATCTACCCACCTATCATCCATCCATCCACCCTCCATCCATCCTCCATCCATCCATCCATGAACCCGTCCATCCATCCATCCATCCATCCACCCACCCGCCATCCATCCATCATCCATCCATCCTCTATCATCCATTCATCCATCCATCTATCCTCCATCCACTCATCTATCCATCTTTCATTCATCCGTGAACCCATCCATCCATTCATCCTTCATCCATCCTTCATTCATCCATCATCCATCCATTCACCATCCATCCATCCATCCATCTACAATCCATCACCATCCATCCATCCATCCATCTATCCACCCTACTCAAGCTCTGTCCTTTCCCCAGAGACGATTCTTCTGGTCTCCTGCCTGGAGGGCAGCAGCCTGGCCGCCTCTTGTCCCTGCAGGCTCTCGGCTATGGGTCTCCATATCCAGCAGTGTTTCCTCCTGATGCCACCCCCTACCCCCCATGCCCTGGGAGCCCCTGCAGTGTCTGGAGTGTCCTCAACTCTCCGGCTTTGCCGTCTATCCTTCCCCCCCCCCCACCTGTGGTTTAGTGTCTTGGCAGGAAGGGGTAAGAAGCTGCCAACATCTACTTTCATTTTTTAAGACATTCAGGTCTCTCACTGGGACTCCAGATGAGTTTGGATGCAAAACGGAAGCCATGTGACTTGGGCTCCTGTGCCCTCAGCTGCTGAGGAACAGCAGTCACTTTGGCTGGATGTGGAGGCCAGCAGGGCCAGCCCTTCCCTGCGCCCGGTCTTTCTCAATTGTCACATCGTCCCTGGACCAGGTGGGCTGTTTGTGGAGATTTGAGTGTCGTGAAAAGATTGTGACTGGAGGGCGAGGTCTGTCCTGGGCTCACTGGGCCCTCCTCTGGATGCAGGTGGATGGCCACATTGGTCCCTGTGTGTGGAGCAGGGGACATGCCACCCCACGGACACAGAGCTCCAGCCACCCATGGCTGTGGTCAATGAGCCACGGGGTTCAGGGGAAGTGTTCACTGAGAAGTGGCTTCTGGGCAAGGGGAGGGCGGGGCGATCAAACCTGCCAGGAATAGTTCCAGCCGCCCCCCCCCC